CTCTGGGTCTCCCATGGGGGTGCAGGGGACCGAGGACTTGGGGCATCTTCCACTGCTTTCCCAGGCCACAGCAGAGAGCAGGATCGGAAGTGGAGCAGCCAGGACTCGAACTGGTGCCCATATGGGATGCTGGCACTGTGGGTGGCGTCTCCTCCTGCTAAGCCACAGCACCAGCCCCTTGAATTTTTTTGACTGTGCTAAGACTTGCTTTATGGCCTAGCATGTCCTCGGTCCTAGAGGAATTCCATGCACTGCTGAGAAGAATGTGTGTTCTGCAGCTGTAGGATGGGAAGCTCTGTAGATAGCTGTTAGGTCCATTTGGTCTATAGTGTTGATTAACTGTTGCATCCTTGCTGGTGTTCTGTCTGGTTGGTCTGCCCACTGCTGCACGTGGAGTGTTGAAGTCCCCCGTTACTGCTGTATCAGGGTCTGTGTCTCCCTGAGATCTATTAGCATTTCTTTTCAATAGCCAGCTGCCCTGTAATTAGATGCATATACATTTATCATCGTCACATCTTCCTGCTGAAGTGATTCTTTATCATCACATAGTTCCTTCTTTGTTTTTATAGTAGTTTTTTTTTTTAGCAGTTTTTATGTGAAAATCCATTTTGTCTGATATTAGGATGGCTATACCAGTCCTTTTTTTAAGTTTCTTTTAGTCTTGAAAATTGTTTTCCATTCTTTTACTTTCAGTCCATTTCTTGGTGAAATTTGTTTCTTGTAGGCAGTAATAAATGGGTTTTGTTTTCCAATCCATTCAGCCATTCTGTATCTTTTAACTGGACGGTTGAGGCTATTTCCTTCAAGGTGACTATTGATAAGTAACAGCTTGGCCCCACCTGTTTTCCACAAATATTCCTATTGTTTACTTTGGATTTCCTTTTTACTTTTACTGGGAGATTTTCTGCCTTCACCTTCATTTTTAGTGATGACCATGGTTCTGTGTTTCTGTGTATAGCACATCCTTAAGCATTTTTTGTAGGGCTGAATGGGTGGTGACAAATTCTATCAATTTCTAATTGTTATGGGCGGTCTTTATTTTCACATTCATTCATAAATGAGAGCTTTGCAGTGTACAGTATTCTGGGTTGACAGTTTTTTTTCTCTTAATACTTGGAATATATCTTGCCGTTCTCTCCTAGCCTATAGGGTTTCTGATGAGAAGTCAGCTGTGAGTCTAATTGGAGATCCTCTGAAAGTAATTTGGCATTTCTCTAATATACATTTTAGAATCTTTTCTTTATGTTTTACTGTGGAGAGTTTGACTACAATGTGTCATGGCGAAGATATTTTCTGGTCTCTACTAGTTCTATTTGCTTCCTGTACATAGACATCCCTTTCTTTATCCAAATTAGGAAATTTTTTCTGTAATTATTTCATTTAAAAGGCCTTCTAATCCATTCTCGCTTTCCATGCCTTTGGGAATTCCCAAAACTCATATGTTGGCTTATTTGAGAGTATCCCATAGATTGCCTACACGGTTTTTTTTTTTTTCCAGTTTTCTAACTTCTTCTTTTCTTTTTTGTTATGACTATACAATTTTCAGGGATTTGTCTTCTAACTCAGATATTCTTTCTTCTGCTTCACCAAGTCTGTTCTTATGGTTTTCTACCACATTTTTATTGTTGTATTGAATTCTTCATTTCTAATATTTCATTTTGATTTCTCTTTAGGATCTCAATTTAATGGTAGATATTTTCCTTCATGTCATGTCTGGATTCCATTAGTTTGTGGATTTGCTTCTGTTTAATTCTAAGTGATCGTACAGTCAAGTTTTTGAATTTCATTTCTGGCATTTCTTCAATCTCTTCATCTTCACATTCTAGTATTGAAGTATCGTCTTCTTTTGGGAGCTTCATGTTGTCTTCATTATTTTTGTTTCTTGAATTGCTGTGTTTATTATTGGGCATTTGTAAAGATACTCATTGGTTTGTCTTTTTGCTTTGTTTTGTCTTTTTCCCTGTGATGACTTTTATCTTTGGAATATGCCTTTGTGGCTTAACAGAATGTCTGGTTTTTCAGTGAACACCCAGAGGCATGTGGTGGGTGTTACTACAGAGCTATGTTTACTGCTCCAGGGTGAAGGGAGTGTCCAGGTGACACCCAGGTTGGGTATGGTAAATCTCTTTCTCTCTCTCCCTTTTTTTAATTGGAGGGGAATTTTGCTCTGCTCTGTTGGCATAGTTTCACGCCCACCTCCTTTTCTCATGGGAGACCAGTGCCGGGGTGCTAGCCCCAGTGTGTCAGTATTCATCTGCACTGCCTCAAGAACCACACAGGGGATCTGTGCAGTTCTTTTGGTGAGGGTCCTGCGGCAGTGACCCTCACCAGAGCATCATGGAGCCCCGAACATGTGGAGCCATCCACAGGGACTGCCCAAAGTCCCAGCCACACCCCACACTCTCCAACACAGCCACAGTGTTTTCACAGTGCCAGCACACAAGCCTCCCACAACCACGAGCACCCAGCCCCCTGTCAGTTCTTCCAGCCAGACTCAGATATCTCTGCGTGGCTGGTTGCTGGGTGCATGGACATGAGCTGGCATAGCTGTTAATGTCTGTCCAAAATGGTGCCCGCACTATCTTGGCTTGTTACAGGACACTGGTGCAGGGTCGTTGTGGGGGAGAGAAACGTGTCCCCTCTTACTCTCTTCTAGGTTGGCAGGCACACTGGCAGGTACACCACAGGGCTCCAAGCCAGACTTGTGCATGCTCTTCCTGCAGCTTTATCCCCGGTGGCTTGGGCTGTGGCAATCTGATCTCATTTCACTCCAAAGCTGGTGCTGAGGCTCTTGGTTGCTGGGGTCCTGAGTTGTGCACGTCCACACCCTCTATGTAGGTCCACAGTGTCCCTCTAATTTGCATGGGGTTTGCGCTGGAGTTATCTCCCTAACTCTTCCCTGAGACTGCACTCTCTGTACTTTTTTAAGACTGTCTTCCCCTAGACAAGAGCAGTAAGCTCCCTCCTATTCACCATCTTGGATCTCCCTCTTCAGTACTTATTGTAAGTTGTACGTTTCATCTGGAACCCTAAATAATTGGGACTGTAAGTGTTTTGGGTTTTAGAATTGTTTTTTCAGGTTTAGAGTATTTTCATATACTTAGTATCTCAACAATTGGGCCCAAGTCTCAAAATTAAATTTGTTTTCTTCACATGTACTTATACTTGTATCCTGAAGATAACTTTATAAAATATTTTTGTATGTCTGTGTTTTGACTATGATCATGTGGTCTGATGTGGAATTTTCTGCTAATGATATCATGTCATCACTCAAAAGTTTCAGATTTTAGACATTTTAGTAATCAGATTTTCAAATTAGGGATATTTAACCTATAATTCCCATGGTATAGAAATGGAAGAGAGGTTATTAGCGGCTTGTTTGTTTATTGACTTACAAGATTTTATAATATTTATTTATGTGCAAGGCAGAGTTACAGAGAGGCAGAGACACAGAGAGAGGACTTCGATCTTCAGATTCCCCCCTCAGTGGAAATGACAGCAGTGGCAGGCTGACGTCAGGAGCCTGGAACTATGCAGAGCTCCCCCGTGGGTGCTAGTGGCCCAAGCACTTGAGCCATCTGCTGATGCTTTCCCAGGCAGATTAGCAGGGAGCTGGATCAGAAGCACAGCAGCTGAGGCTGGACGGGTGTTCAAATGAGATACCAGTATCACAGGTGGCTACTTAACCAGCTGCACCACAGTGCCAGCCTGAAGTGACTGCTCATTTAGACAGGCAAGAGACACCTTACCATCAGTGTTTCCTCTGATGTTCCAATACAGTTCTCTAATGAATAGTTTTATTCTGGTCAAAAGTTTCTCAATATGACCATGCTGATGTCTTATTTTCCTTGGTTAGTTATACCAGGTACAAGGTACTTATATTTAAATTTAATTTGAACATGAAAAGTTCTTGTTTTTCGTCTAGTTTACCAAATAGACTGGAATGATCCTATGAGAACTGCTGTAGTCAGTACACACAACTTGGCCAACTCTAACAGGGGTCCAAGCAAAACCCTTTGCTCCAAGCTGATGACACTAAGTAGAAAAGTCTCAGGAATGCAAAAGCAAGGCCAACGACAGACATGATACTGTTCTGTGCTAGTGATCTAAGACAAAGTTTGTCTAAAGGATGACAGTTTGATGAAACCTTTGAAGTTGTTAGTGCCTGGGCGTGGCTAAATAATGGACGCATCAGGACCATTCCTATCTTCTGTCTTTAGAATTACTTTTAAAAACTCTTAGCAGTTGACAAAGAGACAAATGGTAATGTTGTCAGAAGACAAAATAAATTTAGCATTTGGGACTTTACCAAAAAGATTAGTGCTCATTGCCAGTATGGTACCTATCTGTCTGTTATGATTGGAGAGACTCTGGGTGGATGACTCAAAGAACCTCAGAGTAATGCTGTACTCTGAGTCTATAGTCTCAATACCTGTGAATGAGTAGATTTCAACTGGATCTTAGTGGAATTTCCATAATTATTGACCATTGTTTTACTAAAGGACCATGAGGAAAACCTGTTAATCTAGTAGAATTTTGAAGGAGATAAGTCAGATAATATGCATTTGCATTAAAATATTTCAACTCTCTAAACTGCTGTTCAGTTCTTTAGACTAATCTCGTGCTTCCTGTTCTTTCCATTCTCAAATGAGGCTCCTTAAGAGACTTTACCACATTCACTTCTATGTGTCTTACAGTTGTTTCTGGTTCTTGGATTGGAGCTTCTTTCTGGAATTATGTGAAGAGTGGAGTCCAAGTCACTGCCTTGTTTTACTCCCAAAGGCACCATTCATATCACAATATATGTAAATATCAACCCATGAATTACATAATGTGCTACATATCTGTCCGTATGTGGCAGCCACAGACAAGGAATCAAATGGATAGAGGTGGAAGGAGAGGCTACATGGGTGGCTGTAGAGGGGAAAGTGTGGTATGATTAGCCTTTTTCTGTATGATACTATCAGCCATGTATCTTCTTTCTCTCCTTTGCTTTCCAGAGATCTCCAGATTTTCTTTCACGGTGGTTCTAGAGTTGTTCAAGACTCTTCTGGGGAGATTCTGTCTTATGAGAAGATCATAATTCACCCAAACTTCACTGTCACTTCCCCTAAAAATGACCTTATGCTGATAAAGTTGTCAATGTCTCTCACCTTCTTCTATAACATGGAATTTCGGTTGCCTACTTTCAAGATGAGTGGAGTTAACAGCTGCTTAATTCCTACGTGGGTACAGAATAAAGAATACGATGGTGAGTGACAGTCCAAAAGAAATTTTAGTTGTGTTCTTGGGCAGATTCACAACTTCAGAATCTTTGAGGAGTTAGATTAAGGAATCTGAATTTTCAGCCCTAGTGCCAGATTTCTAAACACATGCGAAAACTAGAAAGAGAAAAAAGTATTGGCTCTCCAGAGTAGAAGGGGTGATCTTCCACAGGGCTTTGGAAATCAAATCTAATCAAGGCGTTAAATGTGTGGACAATCCTGGTGGCCACTGCAGGGGACTGGGTTTCAGGGATATGTAAGTATTGGTTCTGTACAAATTCCTTCACTTCCTTAAATCTTAATTTGCATAATTGCTGCCATTATATTTTATATTTTACTGAATAGGAGTGATATTATCAGTTATAACAACAATATTTATATTCTATTAAGTACTAATTATATATCTGGCAGTACATATCCTAAAAATACCGTGTAATCCTCACTGTATGTCATGTATATCAGTTTCTTATTATTTGTATCTTATAAATGCAGAAATTACAACTTAGGGAGACTATTGGTCAATTATAGTCAAATGTCTTCTCACTCTGATGTTTGTGTCAGATAAACTGAGTGGCAAGATGTCCTTAGTCTGTGATATAGTACACTAATTCTCCCTCTGATATCCATCCTTATTGAGGGGAAGCCTTGAAGGAGGCAGAGGAGGAGAAAACACAAACAGAAATGTAAATTTCTTCTATTTCTTATGCTTAGGAAATTCAGAGTTCGTCCAGCATACCATTAAGACTTTCATGCATTCTGATGCAAACTGTGCAAAATTGCTGGGTAGCAAATTCCTGGAAGACATGTTTTGTGTGGGCTTCGTTCCAGGAAGCAGAGAGTACTGCCAGGTAACTTTTATATCTCATTGCTCATAGAGTGGCCTCTGCTCTTTCTCTTTGATGTTGTGTCTTTGTTATCTTTCATTTTTCCTCAAGGGTCTGTATTTTACACTCAGGCTGAGAGTCTTCAGCTGAGAGTAAGGATCTGAAGAGTAATGTTCTCTCCCCCGTATGAGAGACAGAAATAAACTTTGAGAGTGTAGCACCGTCTTCCAGCTACTGCTTTGAAATTCCTGTCTAGGGGGGATAGGAAAGAAGGGTTGATGAGTTTAATGGAAAGGAGATTTTTACATTTTCTTCTTATATACTGTGACTCCATGTGGGGCAAATGTTGTGGATGTGGCTTTAAGTCACGTGTTTAGATTTCTCCGACGGAAGGGCAATCCTGATCCCCTCTACCTTTTTTCTCTGGCAGGGAATAAGAGCTGCACCAGCTGTATGTGGCAACGAATTACAAGGAATCATGTCCTGGGAAACTGGCTGTGTTCTGATGGGATACATTAGTGCCTTCACTAATATCTATAACCACCTTCCTTGGATTAACAGCATTATTAATACGAAATAAGCTGATTCACACCTCCACGGACACCCTCCCCCTCAGCTGATCTATGGAAACCACACTGGGCATCTAGTCCCAACCTTTGAGAAGATCCAGGTTTAATTAAAACTGCAATAGGGGTCATTGATAACTACTGTGTTGGCATGTCTCTGGTTTCCTTCATGGTGTCTCTGATTTTTCCAACACACATGTGCAGGTAGGTGTTGATAACATTGAAAATGTGAATGCTGGTCTCAAGAAATGGAGTTCACCCAGGCAACTTTTTGGATTCTGTCAGCCCTGATACATCTATTAAAATAATGTCTACTTTATTCTAAGAACACAAAAAATATGTAGAAATGAGGGACAAAGACCACAAGTAGTCTGTTGGGAAATATATAAACCATATAGCTAAACACTAACTTACTGACAATTGCTTAGATCATTTCACACTTCTTCAAATGACCAAGTGTTTCTTGAGTGAGTGTGTGTGTGTATGCATGGGCAATTGTAGTTAGTTTGCATTAGACACTTAAACATCTATACAATTCAGATTTTGTTTAGATTTGCTGAGGCCTCCCAAAGGTCATTGCAATTTTTGGAATAAAAAATTTTTGTATTTTCAACTGTGGCTCTGCTGCAGGTTAGGAGTATCAAGAGTTTCATAAATGGTAGGATTGTTTTTTTCCAACATATTTTCCTTCCAGTTTACTACCTTCTAATTTGTTTAAATCACATGTACTTTCTTATATAAGAACAAAGTGGGGGTTTCATGAGCGTTTTGGCTGAGAGTTTTCATACATGCCCTTAAATGCACCCTGTGTATCATGCATGTACTCGTGAGCACACAATTTCATCCATGGGCACATCCAAAAACATTTGTCATTCCAAGAGTGTATTATCCACATCTGAGTTTTCATTAATTCATGATAGATGAGGTTGTCTGCTATGTAAAACATATTTTTGTTTTATTAAAATACTGTGAAATACTGAGATTCTTATGGTTCAAGTTGCTATCCAGTTTGTACAAATTACCCACCTTTGGTTTTTATAGAACTTCGCAAAACTAGAACCATTGTTCATTTTATTAATGTCAGAGATAATATGGGGAATGCTCAGGGTAAGCACATGAAGACTTGAGGAGTTGGTAGTGGTCAGCAGTATTAACAGTTTCAACCTATTTAATCCTTTTCTGTTTGGTTAATTGTTACTCTAAGTTACTAGGTGTACTCTTTATTTTCATATATGATATGCCAAATATATTGACCTTAACCAACTGACCTAGTAGTAGCCCCAATTTTGTACTGAGAAGGTCTTCCTAATGGCCTGCTCTGAGTCCTGTGCTCATGCTATCATGTTTCCTCTGTGTTTTCTGACCTCGTACACCTCATCACCTCTATTCCTCTGTGGTGGTTACTGTAGACTTACATGCTTTATAATCGCAAACTTTGCCTTGCTGATTAGGTCACCAGTTCTTTAATTATTGGGCATGTATACTGCTTCATATCTTCTGACACTGAGTTTTCTTGGTATGAATTCCCTTCTGCATTTCACCGCGTTCCCCAATATTGAAAGGGAAAGGGCCAGTCTCTCTCTCTCTCTCTCTCTCTCTCTCTCTCTCTCTCACCATCATCACCTACCTATGGCTGGGAAGCTTATCAAGTACGCATTTTTAGATCGTATGAATGACTTTCAAACTACCCTGACAGTTTCTTCTAATTCAAACCCTGTTATAATTGGCTCCAAAACCTTTTTTTTTCATAACCCCCATATGGGTTTGGTCTACCCAGAGTTTCTGTCCTGTGCTTTCTCCTGTCATTATCATATCTACCTTCTTCTCACTTGGTTACCAAATACTGCTGCAGATCCCCTTTCTGCTTCTGTATCTTTCTTTTGCTCCTCAGAATCTTTTCATTTAAGAAATACAAACATGCATTTCAGAAGTATTCCTTTTGGAACAGAATGATGCTTCCCACCAGACCTGCCCTCCCACCCACATTACCATCCCCCTTCCTCCTCCTTCTCCTAGTCCCATTCTTATTCTTTACTAATTTCTACTTGCTTTTCTAAGATTTATTTTATTTATTTGAAAGTCAGAGTTACAGAGAGAGGTAGAGCCAGAGAGAGAGAGAGAGAGAGAGAGAGAGAGAGAGAGAGAGAAAGGTCTTATATCCCCTGATTCACTCTCCAAATGACCACCACAATGGCCAGAGCTGAGCTGTTCTGAAGCCATGAGCCACGAGCTTCCTCCAGGTCTCCCATGTGGGTGCAGGGGCCTAAGCACCTGGGCCATCTTCTACTGCTTTCCCAGGCCAAAGCAGAGAGCTGGATCGGAAGCGGAGCAGCAGGACTCGAACCAGAGCCCATATGGGTTGCTGGTGTTGCAAGCCGAGACTTGAGCCTGCTGTGCCGCAGTGCCGGCCCCTACTAAGATCTATTTTCAATTAACTTTATGAGAAATGTGATTAACTGTATGCTAAGTACTGAGTTCAACAAATAGTATGTACAGAAATCTGTTCCTCAACCATGGAGACAAGGGCTGTTCAGAGTCATTGCATCTCAAAATGTCAATTTTACTTCTATAGATTGCCTGTTAGGTGCTCTATTAATTATCACAGATCATATGGTAGAGAACATATGGTATTTGGCCTTTTGGGACTAGCTTATTTCACTAAGTATGCTGTGTTGTTGTTTTTTTTTTTTTTTTTTTTTTTGACAGGCAGAGTGGACAGTGAGAGAGAGAGAGAGACAGAGAGAAAGGTCTTCCTTTTTTGCCGTTGGTTCACCCTCCAATGGCCGCCGCGGCTGGTGCGCTGATCCGAAGCCAGGAGCCAGGTGCTTTTCCTGGTCTCCCATGTGGGCATGGGTGCAGGGCCCAAGCACTTGGGCCATCCTCCACTGCACTCCCGGGCCACAGCAGAGAGCTGGCCTGGAAGAGGGGCAACCGGGACAGAATCTGGCGCCCCGACCGGGACTAGAACCCGGTGTGCCGGTGCCGCAGGGTGGAGGATTAGCCTATTGAGCCGCGGCGCCGGCTAAGTATGCTGTTTTCCCACTTCATCCATTTTGTTGCAAACGACCAGATTTCATTTTTAATCACTGTGTAGTGTTCCGTGGTATACAAGTCACATAATTTACCCAGTCTTCAACTGCCGGACATTTGGGTTGATTCCATATCTTATTTATTGTGAACTGAGCTGCAATAAACATGGGGATACAGATCACTCTTTGATTTGCTGATTTCATTTCTCTTGGATAAATTCCTAGCAGTGTGATGGTTGGGTCATATGTTAGGTCTATAGTATTCAGATTCCTGAGGTATCTCCATATTGTCTTCCACAGTGGCTATCCTAGTTTACACTCCCACCAACAGTGGATGAGGGTACCTTTTCCCCCACATCCCTGTCAACATTTGTTGTTTGTTGATTTCTGTATGAAAGCCATTCTGACGAGGGTGAGGTGAAACCCCATTCTGGTATTGATTAGCATTTCCCTGACAGCTATTGATCCTGAGCCTTTTTACATGCGTCTGTTGGCCATTTGGATTTCTTCTTTTGATAAGTGTCTTTTTAAGTCCTTTGCCTATTTCTTAACTGGGTTTTTTGCTTTGTTGTCATTGAATTTCTTTATCTCTTTATATATTCTGGATATTTATCCTTTATCACTTGCATAGGTTGCAAATAATTTCTCCCATTCTGTCGGTTGCCCCTTAACTTTGTTGAGTGTTTCTTTTGCAGTGCAGAAGTCTCTCAGTTTGATATAATCGATCCCATTTATCACTTTTGGCTTTGATTGTCTGTGCCTCTGGGGTATTTTCCTGGAACTCTTTGCCCATGCCAATGTCTTACAGGGTTTCTCCAATGTTCTCTAATAATTTGATGGTGTCAGCTCATAGGTTTAGGTCTTTGATCCATTTTGAGTGGATTTTTGTACAAGGTGTAAGGTAGTGGTCTTGCTTCAAAATTTTCTCTACATTTTTGGCGATAACATCCCCTTCCCTTTATTCCACACACATTGTCCTCCTTTATTTAGATACGTAACTAATGGTTTATGATTCTGGAATATTTCCCGTAAGTTAGGTATGGCATTTTGTTTGGGAACAAATCAGAATTTGTTTCTTCAATATTAAGTTATCATTTCACCTAAACTACAAGTTGACTTCCTGAATTGAGGTCTAAAGCTCTTCAACTCTGTATATTTAAAGAAGTTTATTAGATAAAGAAGAGATTTATTTGTAATTTTAAGTGCTTTAGAAGTAGGTTCTATCTTGTTCTGTTTATCTTTGTTGTATCACATGCTATGAATATTTTAAATGCATATACTAGTGAATAAGTTAAAGAAAAAAAATCAGTGAATGACTAAGGCCTATCCGCCTGACAAGTTTTCCATCCATTCATTTCTCTAAAGCATTTCCCAGTCAACCTGAAGTTTTCCTTCTGAAGTTCCCCTACAAAAAGGCAAGGAATGGAAGAAATGAGAGGAGTGTCTCCAGGGATGGCAGAGCTTTGGCCAGCATTGGGCGTAGCAGATGAATCTGCTGTCTGTTGTGGGGGAAGGATTTGATGTCCTGCTCATCCTCTATGCAACCCTAGTCCAGCTTTCAGGCTGTGGCTATCCCCTTTTCAGAATGTAGCCAAGCCCAGCCCTCCTACAATGATGCTCTCTTACTCCCTACTTTGCAGAGAAGAACCCTTGGGCAACAAGAAACAGGACTGGAAAGTTCAGTGACTGTCTACAGACCCACCCAGGGGATGTCTCACCTAACTGGTGCAGAGCTGTGCCACAGCGGTGCCGCAGCTGCCACAGTCTCCAGTCATTATGGAGAACATGCTCCCCACACAGGAGCTTAGGGGAATGCCCAGAAACCCTAGTGCTATGGGCTGAGCCCACGCTCCCTATGCTGTGTGTTTTCTTTCTTGACTTTATTTCCCTCCAAGGCTAGTTATTCACCAAGGAACAGTTTGTCCATGTTTAGCAATGCATAGGGGATGCTGTCAAGGAAAAGTTGAAGAAAACTTTTCACTCCTTCCTCTTCAGAACACTGAAAAGGTATTTAGTGGCAAACCTGAGATCTCCTATTCATGGGCTTCTTCACACTCAGACTGCCTTCCATCCAGCCTCCAAATTATCACCAAACAATTCAAACTGAAC